TCAGCTTTCCTGCTCCTCTGATGCTGCTTGGCCTGCTGTGTTCATCCAGCTCTACACCTTGTTATCTCACCTCTCAGAGAGAGATTGTTTTCAAGCCATTTCATAACAGAATGGGAAATGTGCATTTTCTGTTTCCAGTATCGTACGGAAATCGTTCCAAAACGAATGAAAGAAATGATTGATGCAATCACACGGCAAGATTTTGAAACCTTTGGACAACTAACAATGAAGGACAGTAATCAGTTTCATGCAACTTGTCTTGACACCTTCCCTCCAATCATCTATCTTAATGATATTTCCAAACACATCATTAACCTGGTACATAGATACAACTCCCACTTTGGAGAGACACGGGTAAGATCTGTATTATTATATATACCAAAAATTGTGTCCAAGATAAAAGATGTATATACAGCTATTCAAATTTCCAATAATTTTCCAAACACTATGTGATGCATGAACTTTTGCTGGAAAATTGATAAAAATATCTTGTTTCCAACTCAGTACAATTTCTGACCAGCTTGCTGCTATTACAGCATCTGGTGCATGGTCTCCTTTGTCAGTCCTGGAGAAAGAGAACAGCCTTCCTCTCCTCCACTTCTTTCACCAGGTCCTCCAGGTCAGCGAATCAAGGTGGCAACTTCCTTTTCTCAGCCTTGTACTTTGGAATTTTGCAGGGCAATTCCTGACTTGCAGTATTTAAAGTGGTCTGTAGCTGGAGTATAAATATGGCTCTTGCAGTATGAATGCTTGCGGGTTGTGGCACCAGTGACCACTTCCTCCTCTGCTGAATGACAGAGCAAGAGTAGTCTTGTTGGGGCTAGATACATAATCACTGAGGTGATCAGTGAAGAATTGCATGAGAAAATCGCCAGGGCTTACAGTGGGAAACCCTTCGTAAAACTCCTTGAAATTGACCCTTAGCCTAAATGTGGGAATACTCAGCCTGTAGTTTTTAAGGAGTATGGGTTAAGAAAAAAAAGTGAGGGAAAGAGGTAGAGCAAATTATTTTGAACCAAGGGTGAAGGTCAAAGGTCATAACAGTAGACAAAGTGGCCGTTGCTGGCAAGGCCAGCTTTTGTCACTCAACCCTAACTGCCCTTGAATTGAGTGACAGAGGGCAGTTAAAAGACAATAAATTGTTGTGGATCTGGAGGCACATGTATACCAGATCAAGAATGGACAACAGTTTTCCTTCTGTTTGTAAAAAGGCATTAGTGAACTAGACGGGTTTTTCTAAAATCGACAATAGATTTATGGTTGTCATTACCGGGATTAGCTGCAAAGAAATTTGTAAATTCATGGTAACTCATAAATTCAGCTCCTGTTTTCGGTATTGCATCACCTTATTTAATTATAGCAAAATTGAGACGAAGCAACTTCTTCAAAAACTTAACCACTAAAATATCAAAAGAATTGTTTGTCCTTACAGCTTAAGAACATTACGCTCAGTAATTGAACTGACAATCCAAGTGTGTGTGTGTTTCAATGTATTGGGCATTTCAGTCTGGTTATGCATAAACAAATGTATCTATTAGAAATCTAATAGAATATTTCTGTTATTACATTAAACTACTGTAGATTGTCACGTACAGATCAAATTTTGAACCTTCAAAATGTGCTTCTAAAATTGGTGGTCAACTTTTGTGCTGAGTAAAAAATATATAGCATTGGTGCTGATGCAGTAGGGCCCAGTTCTGTTCATCAGTTGTCATGCACAGTGTGCTCTGTGTTGTATGTTAAACTCCCAGCCATCTTCATGGAATCACGGTCATATTGCCTCCTTAATCCCACACATTTATTTATAAGGTGAGTATATACCTGAACTGAAGAATTGAGGCCAATTCCTAATTTGTGTATAGCTCTTAAGCATGCATTTATTAGCTGAAAATTTGGGGGAAGGTCAACTTGTACATGCATTTTAGCACTGACAAAATGAGCTCATCTTATACGTTGGGTCAACTCATTCATCATAATCTACAGTAATTGCTCGCTGCTTATGAACAGCATCTGCACACTAATTCACCCTTTAGCTCCTGAGCAGAATTGATATGAGCTCCATTGTACAGTGGAAACTGAGGGAATGGAATATAACCTGTGTTGTGATGTGCATAGTAATTAAGGATGTACTGAAAATATGCAGAGACTCTGTAAATTGAGCTGGTAACACTTTTTGATGCAATGCACTTCTGTTTTTTGACCCATTTTTGTTTACATTAGGTAGTGTACACATTTGATGCAGGCCCAAATGCAGTTATTTACATACGGGAGCAGCATGTGGATCAGTTTGTGGAAGTTGTGAAACATTACTTCCCTCCTGAAGAAAATGGTGAACAGTGAGTCCTGCAAAATTCAGTACAGTTTTATCCTATTGCAACCTGATGAAATCTGTTCCATTTGCAATCTTTACTGTCTAAACCTGTAGAGAAAAACAGCCATGTCACTTTCATTTTTGATGTGGGGGTGCAGGTATTGGACTGGGGTGGACTAAGTTAGAAGT